AACCCTAAACCCTAAACTGCCCTAAACCCTAAACCCTAAACTGCCCTAAACCCTAAACCCTAAAACCCTAAACCCTAACTGCCCCAAACCCTAAACCCTAAACCCTCAACCCGAAACCCTAAGCCCCAAAACCCTCAACTGCCCTAAACCCTAAGCCCTAAAACCCTCAACTGCCCCAAACCCTAAACCCTAAAACCCTACACCCTAAACCCTAAAACCAACTGCCCCAAACCCTAAACCCTAAAACCAACTGCCCCAAACCCTAAACCCCAAAACCCTAAACCGTAAACTGCCCTAATCCCCTGGCCTCGAGTCCCGGTGCCGAGACTCCTCCGCCATGGCCTGGGCAGTTCGGCTTTTCGAAGTCGGATCTAAGGATCTATCGAGGTTTAGGGTTTATTACAGTTTAGGGATCTGTAGGTTTAGGGTTTAGGGTTTAGGGTTTAGGGGTCTATAGGTTTAGGGTTTAGGGCAGTTTAGGGTTTAAGGTTTAGGTTTAGGGCTTAGGGATCTGTAGGTTTAGGGTTTAGGGATCTGTAGGTTTAGGGCTTCGGTTTTAGGGATCCATAGGTTTAGGCTTTAGGGTTTAGGGGTCTATTAGGGCTCCCTTAAAGGGGTCCTGCAAAGGGTGCTATGAAGCTTACTATACGGGCACAGGTTCTGAAGGGGCTACTATCTATACAGGATACGAAAGGGGCTTAGGAATTATATCCTCGTTTGGGGCTATGGTGTCGACGTCGATGAAGGTGATACAGGGGCTTCACAATGAGAACAGGGCTTGCGGGCATATGACACTGCAAAAACGCCTCATCATCAGGAGCTGCACTACTAAGTAGAGGGCTTCGGATGAGGGCTGGTTTACGATTTAAGGCTTATAGTAATGATAGGTCTTGGGGATCAGGGAAGAAAGTTCAAGGCCACGTGATTACTGATTCATCGCTGCATCATCCTCTGCTCCTCCCAGAAGCCTCCACCCCGAACTGGATACCTAAGCCACCCTAAACCCGAAACAAATTAAGACCCCCATACCCTAGACCCTGAGACCCTGAAGCCCTCAAATCCCAAAACCCTGGAAACCCCTAAGGCATTCAGCCATCTGTCGGCTTCTAGGATGCCGACATGGAACCAAACACGCGGAAGAAAAAACAAAAAAAAACAAAAAAACAAAGCCTGTGAGACCCTTCTAGGCTTCTCGTTTAGGGGTTCCAGCAGAGGGTTCTGTTCAGCGTTGCATTAGCGGGTTCATGGAAAGGGCTCTATCCTTCGAATAGGGTTTCGGGTACCTTGCAGTGTTCCTGCGGCATTGTAAAGTCCTCAGAGGCATTGCAACACCCGGCCCGGAAGATTGTCAGCGAGTACGATGACTACCGACGCTAGGGGCATTCCTAATTTGGGGTTAGGGTTAAAGGCTAAGCCAGGGTCTAAGGTTTAGGGTCTGCCAGCAATGCTACCAATACAATTGCTGCCAAGCACTACCTCTCAGAGGATTGCCAAAATAGTTGGTGTTGGCTTTACGCTATTTCTTCCTCCCAACATCTCTGCGCATCCCACATCTTCGTCTGAACATATCAGCATACATACCTACATGCCCACCTACATGCATGCATGCATGCTCACATACATACGTACGCGCATACATACACACACACATAAATGCATACACAATTGCATACGTACTTACATAAGTACTTACATTACTTACTTACTTACTTACTTACTTACTTTACTTACTTGCTTGCTTGCTTGCTTGCTTGCTTGCTTACTTACTTACTTACTTACGTACTTACTTACTTACAGACTTACAGACACGCGTGCACGTGCACACACACACAGATATATATATATATGGGTGCGTGTGTACACATACAGAAGTCTGTAGGTCTGGTTGCTAATGAGAAAGCTCATGTTTGTATGTCAGCGTGCTTGCTTGTGTGTTTGAGTTTTTTTGTTTCTGTCTGTCCGGCTGTCTGTCTTTCTCCCTGTCTGTTTTTCAGTTTCTATGTCTGCCGGTAGGTCTCTATGACACTCTGTTTGTGTATATGTCTGTCCGTATGGGATAGATGGAGGGATGGAGGGCTAGTATAAATATAAGAGCTGTGTCGCTCGCTCCCTTGATTTAGTTCGTAGAATTGTTAATACCCCAAATAAAGGCTATTTGTGATCCCTTCTTATCACTACCTATATGAATCAACCCGAAAGTACTCGGAACTCCGGGCAGCGCCCTAAGGCGGAGACGATCACCTGGAAGTGCTGCACTTGCGCGATTCGGCGTCACCCAGCTGCTATGCTCTGCATAATCTTCGTGCGCATGTTTTTTTGGGGCCGTAAGTGTGAATCAATACGACCATCTGTGGTTTTGTGTATAGTCCATACCTGTATGTGCATATATATATATATACGCATGCATGTGCAAATGTAGTTTTATTTGTATTCATAGTCTTGTTCATTCCGAAGCAGTAAAGGAGACGGCTGAAGTGGGATAAGCCCAAGCTACGAGCGCATGATGACTCCAGAGGAGACGCATGGCAGCACTTCTTTCATCACGAGTCTCGAGAGACTTTTTTGGGACTTAAATAATTAGAATAGGGTTTTGGGGGTTCATCATTATAAATATAGTATAGAAGGACAGTAAGAGTTTTGGAGGGCATGCCGATCCTCTGCTTTTACCAATGAGGTCCCCAATCCTAAACCTACCCCGAAGCCCGAACTGCGAGATTCGGTGAATGCCACCTCGACTTGAGGTCAGCAAGCAGGAGGCCTTTTGCTGGATTTTCTTTGGTTCGTCCATGGTGGCTCAGATGCACTAGTGCACTGTCAATGCTGGCTAGGAGGTCATAGAATTCGTACCTCACCCGTTTCAATGATTCAGGCAAGCACGATCAAGCATTTCGCCGACAGCTGCATGTTCTCGAGCTTGCTATTGTCATTGTTTACCTACTGGCGCCTTGGCTATGGAATGATGTCAGTCGGTGGCCCCTGCTCCGCTACACTCCTTAACCCTAAATCCCCAAAACCCGAGAAGCCGTCACAAACTGATCCTCAACTACCGGCACCTTGACTGCACAAGCTGAGGAGCCTCTACGCTGCTGCTGCCGAATACGCCACTTGACCTGGGATGCCCACTAGACTTGCTTCGTCAATCGGAGAGCTTCGAGACCCCTTGGGTTTCCCTTGCAGCAACGTTTGAGCTGCATTAAGATCAGGCGCGACATGTCAGCCAGAATGGCGGGTGTTGCGTGAAGTCAGGCCCAAATTGCTGCAAAAGATCATCAGCAGTCGACGGCATCAGATCATGTGCAGTGCAGTACAAGTACTGTAACATAAACATAGTAGCCAGGGCATAACATATGTGCAGACATGTGCAGAAGCCTAGATCCTGCGGCAATACCACCAAGAACCTGTGATCTGGGGTATGAATAACCAGAACACTCCCTACGCCTTTTTTTTTGTACATATGCCTATGTGTATGGGATATATATATATATATATAAATATAAAGATATATATATATATAGTACACATGCACACACTTGATAGCTTACCCCTAGTATCGCGTGCTTTCACTCGTTGGCCTGCTCAGTCTACACGTTTCAGCGCCGACGGGTCGGATCACCGGCTCTTCTACATGATGCCACGGAGTTGCAGAAAGATGGGAGTTCCATGAAGAGCCGAAAGCATTGTTGCATGGTCTTATGAGGGGCTTGTCGCGCTTGAATCGTGTCTTAAGTATGGGCCTTGATAATTCGAGCAGGATCTTGGGGCATATTCTTGTAGCCATGTTTAATCTGCAAGGGGATGCTATCACTAATCGTTCACACTCTTCTCAGCTGTTAAGCCCTCAGGGCTTAGGCTTTTGGATTTTGGAGCTTTTTCATGGAAAAGCATTTACCAGGTTAAACTTCTGCAGTCATTGGAGCTCGCAGTTCTTTTTGGAATCGAGACGGTGTGGGTGTGGGTCGCGCATAAATCGATCGGAATGCTCGGTACGATCCTGCACGCTTGGCACACGTACCTGCTCGCCACTACGCCATTCTGCGCTCCCCTAGATTTTCGTGAGGTGCCAGACGGTATAGGACTAGGACAGACCTTAGCTCAGTGAGCGGTCGACATTGAAACTCCGCCCCCATTCCTGGCTGCAACATGGTGCCCTTTTCCGAAATAATGCCGTGGCTCCGACCGAGTGGCCTCAATGTGTGCCTTAGGCTAAAGTTTTGGGGGTTTTGTGGCTTGTTGGTTGTGCTGTTTGTTTGCAGAGCATTCAGGGACTGCGGCAAATTCAGTATTCTAAGAACAGTACTCAGAATCATACTATCCATAATACCACTGGTGATACAAGGCTACCTGAGTGATTTCCATGCGCGGGTTAGTCGGATAGACTCTGCTTCTCGGACCGGTTCGTTTCATCTGCAGCATTCGGAACCCCAAACGCTGAACCATTTGGCACCTGATACCACAAGGGCTCTGGGTACTTGCCATGTCCTTGTTGCGTTGCCGGTGCAGCCAATCATAGCCTAGCTTCTGGCATATCTTGTTGGTCCGAATGCTGTCAGGATCAGCTTCGGCTCTTGACGATATGTTCACACCTACCAAGCATGTTTTTAAAAATTGCGGCTGCCGGCACCCCCTATGGCTTTATTGGTAGTACTGAAACCCTAAGCTCCGAACCCTAAGCTTGACTTCAAGAAGGCCCACACCCTGAACCCAGAACCCCTCCTAAACCCTAAACCCTAAACCCCTAAACCCTAAACGTCTCCGGTTTTTTGTGGATTCAGGCTGGCCATGAGCATCTTCTTTATGGACATCAACTTTACAGGCTCGTGAGCTGGGTTTAGGGTTTAGGGGTTTAGGGTTTAGGGTTTAGGGTTTAGGGTTTCGTGAGCTGGGTATCTTTCGGGGTTGAGGAAGAGTTTTTTTCAAGTTCGGGGGGGGAGAGATTGTTTAGGGCAGGTAAGACGGAAGGCCTCTGGTGTTAGGTCATTTTTTGCGTCAATATTGCGCAATTCTTTGTAGGGTCTGTATTGGGGTCTGAGGGGTTTCGGGTTTCCAAGTTGGGTGCCACTCGCTGTCGGAATCTCCATGAAAGACATGAGCAGGCTTGCGATCGTGCACATGTACTTCCCAAGTGATCCGGCCGCAGGAGATATCCTTGTCCAAGATGCGGATACACGCAGACTGTATTTCAATGCCCTCGCCACCTGCTACTGTCTGCGAACTCCTTGCATTTAGCAGCTGTCCAGACATGTGCTCCCTTGTTATGAACCGTTTCAGCTGTGGGTGCAATTGACCCTAAGCTCCAAACCCGAAACCCAAACCCTTAACTCCGCTCGCAGCTGAGACTTGGCATGATGCACGCTCGAGTGGGCTACTGGTTGCCAGCCTGCCGCATCTTGGCTCGCCTTTTAATGTACGGACCTCAATAAATGACCAACAACCAATTAGGCAGGTGTGTATCGTGTGGCAAGGGGGGGTGTATAGTTCTGTGGGGAGTATAAATATTAAACCGCAAGAGTTTCGATGTCCGGGCAGCTTTGTCTTGCTACACGGTTAAGCCGGAAGTCTGCCGCCCGACAAAAGTTCTAAACCCTAAACCCCAAGCCCTATCCTTAAACTCCTATAGACCCTTAAGCCCCAAACGCAAATGTCTGGTTGTGTCCGAGTTTGAGAATTGGATCCCTAATCCCAAGTCCCTGAATCCGAAACTTGCGTTGCGCGTCCTTACCTGGATTGTCCAAAATCTCGTGCCAAAGCCTGCAGCGCTAAACCCAAAGCCCTAAGGCCTGCTTAAATAGGAATCCTTATAGCTAACCGCTAACCAATGCCCTATATAAACCTTGCTTCTCTGAACCTGTAGCTAACCCAGGCCCCTATAGGTCCTCTAAGCCCTTTTTTGCACAGCACCCCTACCTGACCTAAGCCTGGGAGGTTTTAAAACCCTAAACCCTAAACCGAAAAAAAGCAAAACCTAAACCCTAAACCGAAAAAATAAAACCCAAACCCTAAACCCTAAACCCGAAAAAAGCAACAAAACCTAAACCCTCAACCCTAAACCCTAAACCGAAAAAAGGAACAAACCTAGCTGGCCCAAGCCCTGGAGGCGGTTTTGCGACTTTCCATTTGGCCCTGAACGCAGCGAGCGCGAGCCTGTACATCTGGGCCGGCCGAAGCTCTGAGGGCCGATGCCAGGCGGGTACGCATGAGAATAGGGTTCCTTTACGGTTTCTACAAGCTTCTCGAAGGGCTCTCTACTAAAAGACTTCCTGTAAGGGTTCTAGAGGCTTGCTTCAAGGGCGACATTAGGCAGGCTCGCCAGCCGTTTAGGGGGTCATGCTTAGGGCTTGCTGCTAAGGGTTTTGTAAGTGTTACGCAGCGTTCAGGGCTTAGGGTTTCTGGGGGTTTAGTGTAGTCACACGGATGGAAACAAAGCAATGCTACCGTCTTAGATATGTCCCTAAACATCTCCGCTGTAATGTTATACTTCCAAAGCGTAACCCAACTATCAAGGACCCTGTAGACGGCGGTTCGCACTTCCATTAGCATTTCCTTGTGCGCATCACCATGTGGGTCTAGGGCTGACGAATTGTTGCCCTGAGCCCAGGACCTAAACGACCTTTCGAAACCTACGCCCATCTAAATCTTCGCATATCACCCTCGAAAGTTTGTGTCTAGCCATGTCTAGGGAATTCTTGAACTTCTTAAACCCTAATGCTAACCCGAAATTCCAAATCCTGAAGCGTTTTGATGCGTTCTTGGGCTTCTATAATCCAGCCGTGCTTGGAGGTGATTTCTTGGTTGGCCTGTGCCTTGTTCTTTCCAAGGACCGAAAAACTGTTTGTTCTTTCAGTCCTTGGGGGCAAGCAAGCCTAAGGCCTCGAATGGGTTTGGGCGTTTTACGGAGACTCCTATGCCGAGGTGTCTAGTCTATAATGCTTCAGGGGTTTACACAAGAGTGGGTCCCTCTTTAGGGCTCTACATTAGGGATTTCAGGGCACCCTTGTAGGCTGTTTACAAGGGGCCACTCAATTTTCGGAAACTCAAGTGTGCCGGACGTGTGCATGTCAACCTTGGTTACTTTAAATGGGCAAGCTTGTTGCAGTCAGTCATGAGACGTGCAGGCACATGCGGACAGCTGTGTGCTCTCCTTGCAGCATAGAGTAGCAGAGCTGCGACCAGTACTCCACCTGTCCCTGTCTGCCGGCTTCAGGATCTGTGATAGATATTGCTACGCTCGGAATCTCAAGATCAGGACTTATGGGCGGTCGTTGCATGACCCTGGCTCCACCACCAGACAGAGAAATGCAAAGGACTACATTGGTTTGAGCCTCAGACTGCGTTCATTCATTTCGGTAAGGCATCAGAGCACTTTTTTATTCCAGCCTGATGTTGGACCCCTGCATGCGCGAAACGATGTGTCTGTTTGCCAGATCTGTGGGAGGTCGTTCCCAGACGGTCATGATCACAACTCTAGCCGCGCGCTTAGCCATGTCCTCTTGATCAGTGCCCTGCAGACGCAACGTGTGAAGTCAACATGCTCTTGTCCGGCAGGCCTTGTTGGGGAAGTTCATTACAAACGGAGTTCGGCCAGGCAAGCGTAAGGATGCAGAGTTATTCTAGTATTATTCTAGTGCTTCTTTCTGTTCCAGAGACCCACGATTGGATGATAGTGTTGAATACAGGGCCACTCCTGGGTCCTTGCAGGCGAAGCTGAAGTGGGGCACGTTCGCTTCTGGGACGTTGTGGCTTCATTCCTGCCTCCGCCTTAGAGGCCAAAGCTCTTTTTCGTGGGGCGTTCTCCTGAAATGATCGTAGGGGTGCCTAGTTAAAGATGCAAGGTATTGAAAAAGTTGCCTGAGCAGAAACAAGCGAGGCTCGTCATGCTCATCAAGATCTTGCTGTACGACGTTCATGTAGCAGATGCTCGGACAGACCGGGCAAACAGCATGATTCTTCCGACCACACTTTTAAAAGATGATCAAGACACCCTGCGTTTCTATCCCCACTAGGAAATCCTCTTGGGGATATATTCGTTTGCCATTTGGAGTCGGGTGTTCTCTATCTTGTGGTTCAAGTTCTCAAAGCTTCGTAGCATCTCCTGGGCCTTCCCGCGGAGTTTGGTCGCCTTGACGGAGGAGGCGATGATACTCTGGGTTCTTGTTTTAAGGAATTTACGTTAAGCTTACCATAATAAGGAAAGCATAGTAAGGGATTTATTTAAAGCTTACCATAATAAGGAAAGCATAGTAAGGGATTCATTTAAAGCTTACCATAATAAGGAAAGCATAGTAAGGGATTCATTTAAAGCTTGCCATAATAAGTACAGCATATTATTTACTATAGATCCCCATTATGGTAACTTAACTGTAAATCCCTTCACAAGAACCCAGTACTCCCCCATCTCCCTGTTTTATGAGCGCTGGTCGTCACTTCGCGCAAAAGCAGCTTGTAGAGCGCCCTAGTGCTAAGCGTCTGAGGACACCCAGTGGCATGCCATCCGCTGCACCCAGCTTGCACTCGAGTACTATAATGATAAGGGCCTAAATAATTACCAATACTAGTCTACTAAGTACTAGTTTGGGGGTTCCTCATTACAAGTCTAGTATAAAGGGCTCCAAAACCCTATTCCAGTTTTTAAGGCCCTTAATTACCTGTCAAACATGGCTGGTTGGATTCCTCAAGGAAAGTACACAGGTGGAGAACCCAAGCTAAATCCTTCAGTGGTTATCCCCTTTAACATATGGGCACTTGCTTATCAACCGAAAACACTGTAGAACCTGGGCACCCTTCTCATCAGCATTGGCATGATCATGAAAACTATTTGTTGGCAAAAAACGGTTCTTCTGGATGCTGATATCGCAATGAATATATGTCATTGGCGGCATTGTCTATATGAGTTACTGGTATTCCCTAAACCCTATGACCCTTAAAGCCTGAACCCTAAACCCCTAAACCCCTAAACCCTAAACCCCTTAAACCCTATAACCCTAACTGAGGTACTCAGACGCCCTTGCGTCCCACAGCCTTCCTGGCGCTGATCCCAGTGGCCATGGCTGGAGAGCTTTGATTCAATCAGGGGGGTTTAGGGCTTTAGTTTTGGGGATTAAGGGCTTAGGGTTTAGGGGTTTAGGGTTTAGGGCTTTAGTTTTGGGGATTAAGGGCTTAGGGTTTAGGGGTTTAGGGTTTAGGGCTTTAGTTTTAGGGGTTAGGGTTTAGCGTTTAGGGTTTAGGGTTTAGGGGTTTAGGGGTTTAGGGTTTAGGGGCGAGGTTGTTGGGGTGGAGGGCTTCAGTGTTCAAGGATTGAGAAC